CATCTCTCTTACCCCAAATTTTGTTTGTTTTTCAAAATAGTGGTTGTTTTCCCCAGGCTTTGTGCTTTGTATTTTAAGTTATTGTGCTCGTTCTCCATTGGACTCTTCAGTGGCCTGCGTCCTTGCTGGCTGTTCTGTCTGCCGGCTCCTGCTTACAGTGAGTTGTTTCCATGAGATCTTGTGGCTCAGGTTTGGAGTTTATTGGTTCTGCCTGGGGCCTCCCAAGTTGCCTGGACTGAGAACACGTCTCTCCAGTTAGGATTTTTCTTCTAGACATCCTAGGGGCATTGTTGGTCAAGAACCAATTTTTGTACCTGTTTTCAACTTGGAAGCTCCTGGACTCTGCAGGTGTTGTGAATTCAAAACCCCAAAGCACATGAGGGCAGTGGAGACATTTTTATAGCCTACCAAGACCCTCTGGCATGGCATCTCTCTGCCTTCTGCCTCTGTGAGTGTTTTTAAAGCCCATTTCACTTAAGGAGACTTTCTTCAAGACCACTTCAAGAGTCTTTCTTTTTAAATTATTACTGTTGTCATTGTTATTATTATTAGTATATAAACAGGGTCTTGCTGTGTTCCCCAGCTGATCTCGAACTTCTGGCCTCAAGTAATCCTCCCACCTTGGCCTCCCTGGCTAGAAGTACAGATGTGAACCACTGCACTAGCCCAAGGCCCAAGGGTTTTTCTTTAGGTGACATTGCAGTTCCCATCCTACCACCTCTCCCACTCCCTAGCAAGGCTGAAGTCCTGAGCCCTGGTGTGCTGACCTCTCCTGCGGTATGAACTCATGGGTTCCCTATTTACTTTGGTTCTCTGTTCACTTCTTTCCACGTCTAGCCCCTTTCTATCAAATTTCTTGTGAGCTAATTTAAAAGAATGCTCACTCTGGGTTTGTCACATTTCCCCAGGATTTTTCAGGGACTAAGAGTAGACTAGTTTAGGCTGTCAGGGCAACTTCTCAGACGATGTTCTTGCTTTCATTTTTATGAAGAACAAAGTCTCCGGTTGGGCACGAAGATATCTTACTCTTTGATATCAGTCTGCTGGGTTGGGCCGGTCACACGACCTGTCACAGGCTCTGATTCCTTATCTTTTAAATGGTGGTAATAAGACTTAAGTACACTGTTGTAGAAGGTGTGCCTCCAACGATGGAATGTTACGAGATCAAGGAGGAGGACAGATGAGAAGGTATTAAAAGTAAAAAAGATAAAAGCACTCCATAATTACCAGGTAAACTTGCTTCTTCTTAGACATTGGCCCAAGGATGTTGCAGGGCCAGAGCCCGCTTTCTAGTATTATGACCAGTACTCTTTTTTCTCCAGAGCTGTCACCCACTTCTACCACTGCAGCTCCTACTGCTTTAGTTTAGCTGACGGCAAAGCAGGATGGCCTTGCATTTAGACAGAGGACCTACTGCGACATCCTGCTGGGTTCACCTTACTGAGCGAGGTGACTGCTGCGGCTCTGTCTTCACCCTGACTTACGACCTGTGTTCCTTGCTCAGATGTAGCCTCCTGTGGTCAACAGTGAAAATGCACTGCTACTTTGTGTGTTTTTTTTATTTTAGATGAGAAAATATAGTTTATTTAGAAAGTAAATTAGAGAGAGGGAGAGAAAAGATTTACCTCCCCAAGGTAGGGGAGGGGACCAAAGCTAGAAAAACATGGCTTGTCCATAGCTCATAGAACACATGGCCCGGCCAGTGCTTAACAAAACAATGGCCACACTGCTACTTTGGGTAAGGTCTTAATAACACATGTGGCTGTTTATGGGGATCTGCAGCGGGGGACACTGAAGGTGCTGCTGAGTCCAAGTCTTCTCTGCAGCTTTTGTGCCATGTCACTGAAGGAAGGTACTCCTGGAAGCCACCGGAAACCTTTAAGTATGTGTTAATAGAAACCCTGGGATTCATAATCAAGAATTTTTACAATATGCGCTCATAGAACTGCCCTTTTTATGTTATAGAAAATTTGGTTTGCACAAGCTGCATCATAAAAGTGGCCACAGAGTCACAAAGCCTGTCCTATGATGACAGGTCAACCAGATCTGCAAGGGAGGGAAGGAGGTGGGAGTGTTCCTGGCTTTTCGTTTGACACCAAGTTCTCACACAGAGCATTGAATTTGCTTCAGGTCAAATGAAGTCATAATTTGGGTTGGAATAGTCCCTGTTTAAATCACTTAGTCAGAGTTTAATTTATTGTGCCAAAACCCTGGAGCCTGTTCAATGTGCAGAAGAACATATAATTACATAACTTTTATCCCAAGATCTCAGGAGAAATTTTTAAGTAGATATAGTGAGGGTTCAAAGGGAATATGAGGCTAAAATGGTAAATGCTTGCAGGGATAACATAGAAGAAATAGAAATAGAAAACATTTGTGAAAGTCACACCTCAGTTATTTGTATAGTTCATTGCACAAATTAATACACTTGATTCTCAAGTAAGCAAACATGATTTCAGATTCTGAATCTTTATTTTCAAAGACAGGATGACGTAGCCGTCATAGGGTGGGAGGCAACCATATGCGTCACTGAATTTTCTAGCACATCCTGTGTTGTATATCATGCAACTGCCCTACTTCTGCGTATTCCTGGTCACTACCTGAAGACATAGAGACAGTGGACATCTCCAAATCATTCAAACTCCTCCTTTTGTTTGCTTCATGTTAGTCCCTCCCTTTACAAAGCCTATGACCAAACCATACAACAGCCTTTGTGATTCTGTGACCACTTTTATGACACACCTTGGGCAAACCAAAGTTTTTAACAAACAGGACTAGTTCGAAGATCATTTCCTGTTAAGTTCCCCACCTGCCATCTCCTCTGGGCATTATGAGTCATGAAATGCCTAATGTCTCAGAGAAACAGAAGAAGAGCAGAGGACCTGGACTGTGAAAAAGTAGAATAACATCCTTTGGCTAATCAAGGATTGTTAGGTCAATTGTATAACCAAACGGTTGTAGGAATGATGATTGAAATTAACAGCTAATCTAAGGTTCTTGAAATGGACATCCATGCAGGCTTTGTTTACTACTACTGTAAGGCAGTCAGTGGAGATTAGTGAAAGACCAGTTCGCATACCTTCTTGTAGACATGCATGCAGACTATCTCAGTTCCATACATGTAGACTAGTTCATTTCCATGCACATAGACTGGTTCATTTCTATGTACGTAGACCAGTTCAGTTCCATGCACATAGACTAGTTCAGTTCCACTCACTACATGCATGTAGACTGGTTCAATTCCATGCATAGACTAGTTCAGGTCCATGCATGTAGACTGGTTTAGTTCCCTACACATAGACTAGTTCATTTCCATGCACATAGACTGGTTCAGTTTCATGCATGTAGACTGGTTCAATTTTATGCATGTTGACTGGTTCAGTTCACACATGTAGACTGGTTCATTTCCGTGCATGTAGACAGATTCATTTCTTTGCACATAGACTGGTTCAGATCCACACATGTAGACTGGTTTAGTTCCATGCACATTAGTTCAGTTTACATACATAGACTAGTTCATTTCCATGCACATAGACTGGTTCAGTTCCATGCACATAGACAAGTTAAGTTCCACTCATGTGCACTAGTTCAGTTTCACACATGTAGACCAATTCAATTTCATACACATAGACCAGTTCAGGTCAATGCATGTAGATTAGTTCTGTTCTACATATATAGGCTAGTTCAGTTTTATGCAGGTAGACCAGTTCAGTTCCATACATATAGATTAGCTCAGTTCCACACATGTAGAGTGGTTCAATTCCACATATATAGACTAGTTCAGTTTTATGTGTGTAGACTAGTTCAGTTCCACACATATAGACTAGCTCAGTTCCATGCATGTAGACTGGTTCAGTACCACGCATATGGATTGGTTCTCTTCAGCCAGTTTATGCTGAGCATCTAGAATGCTGCACTCTGGGGACTGGGCATGAGATCTGATCTTTACTCAAGGTGGTTTCCAGTCCTGGTGGGAAGCTACCGACAGCCTCTGCTGCTAACAGCATGACTGTGTGTGGAGCACCACACTGTGCCTGCCACCTGTGTGCCAGGACTGTATTTACCTATGTTACCTTGATTCCTCTTACCAGTCCTCTGAGGTGAGGTGCCTCACTGTGTTAGGACTGCAACCTGTTGGGTGAAGGTCCAAGCTTGGCTTTGCTGCATACCTGTGGGGTTGTGAGGACATGTCTTATTTGAGTCATAGGCTTCTCATCTTTAGACAGAGATAGTAATACTGACCTTGGCTTTCTGCCTGAATGTCACATCCTCAGAAGCCCTACCTGACCATTCTGTTCCTGTCCCCTGATTATATGATCTCACAGCCTGTTTTAATTTTGCCGTTGCCTTTGCCACCATCCAAAGTGACCTCATGTATCCTTTACTTTCCTGACTGTTGTCAGCCTTCCTCTCGAATTAAGTTTCAAGAGGGCAGGGGCTGGGCATGCTGCATCATCTCTCTGTCCCCGGAATTTGGTTCCTGGCACCATGCAGACGTGTAACAAGTATCACAAGGATGGACAGTAGTCCTGGGAGAGTTAGTGAGGATGGAAAGGAGGAGATGACTGTACTTGTGGTCAGTGTCCTTGTGAGCTGTTCACTGTGTTCCCTAAAGAAGAAAACAAAGCACTGAAATCCTCAAGCTATGTTGCGGAGGTGGGTTAGCAAGGCTTGAGTTTTTTTTAACCATACAGAAGGTTTGAAAATACTGCAAATGAAAATTCATCACCAAGTGCATGATGGTCCATGCTTGCCCTGAGCTGCGCCTCAGTGAAGGGAGCAATTAGACAAACACCTGTGCAGACCAGAGAATGAACTTCTTAGCGGGTAGGACTGTGGGGCGGACTAACGTGTAGCCGGTACTTGCCTGAGCAGGTGTGGGGCCTGCGTGCCCTTCCACAAGCATTCACTCAGAGCCAGCAACATGTCTTCCTGAGTCTACAAAAGGTGCCCCCAGCTGCCACTGACCTGTTGTCTGTCTTTAATGTTGTTTGTTTCAGGATTCTGAGAAACGGACCCCTCTTCATGTGGCTGCGTTTCTGGGAGATGCAGAGATCATTGAACTCCTGATCCTGTCAGGTAAATAATCACTGTCCCTAAATGTCAGTTATAAGTATAAGTTTAAATGACCAATTTGCTAGATTGACTACTACAGTGAGTCCAGATAACTCTTTTATTATGCTCATGAAAGCTTGTTTGATGAGGACAATGCAAGAAGTTGTTCCTATTGAAAAATGACTCCTCCAGTCAGGTCCAGCATTTTAGATGAATTCAGTACATTTGGATATATATTATTTTATTTTTAATTATGAAAAAAGGAAAGAAAACTAGCTTAAAGTCTGTATGATTATACACCCCTCCACACTATATATAGTATGTGTAAATATACACACGATATATATATTCATACACATATATTGTATACTCAGTATATCTGCACACTATATATAGAATGTATGCTCTCCATAGATGCATATAGGTATATATACATGCAGTTTATATACCCAGTGAGCGTGTTTCTTTACATATATTTAAGTTGAGTGCAAAACAATACTGTGTTTTGTCTCTGGATACATGGCTGTGTCTGTATAATAAAGCAAAAAACACAGATCAGGAGACAAATCCATTTCTGGATGGTGGTTTCCTCTTAGGTGGGGGCTTGAGTGAGATGTCTTCATGGAAGGGCATAAAAGTGACCCCTGCAAACTCTCCAAAAAATCTTTTATGTTTAACAGTTGGAAGGAAATATGGCAAACATGTCACATCTGGTTTGTGTGTACACAGGTCTTTGTGATATTATTCTCTTTAATTTTCTATGTATTTTAAGTATTTCACCACACTTGAAATTGCCAGTGCTTCCACACTTGGAAGGCTCAGCACATTTCATCCCACAGAGACCAGTGTATGCTTTTTCCCTCAACTGTTTGCTAGACAATTCCTAGAGTAGATCTACCCGTGTGTAGCCATTTTGTTGTAAACTGGTTGGAGGCACACCCTCTTTTCTTGTCTCCCTTTTGTTTAGGGAGATTAAAATATAGAGAAAACCCTCTGCCCATGGACTAGGTAAAAGGCCTCTAGTAGGGTTTTGCCTCCGTTTGTAGTAGTGCAGGAAAGCCAGAGAATTCCAAAGTAGCTCCGCAAAGGGAAGCGTGACACCTGTATTCAGGCAGATGTGAACACTGTGGGAAAGAAGCAAGAGTGGTGTTCTGATATACCAGGAGCCTTCACATTGCTCTTGATCTTGTTTGTTTCTCTTCTTGTGGTGGGTTTCCCCAGGAATCATGTGTGCCCTGTGCTCCTGATGGCCACGTGAACTCAGGTTAGATTCAGTGCGGCATTTCTTGTGTTCTTGAGAGCAGACCTCTCTTCCGGGAAACCAAAGGGTATTCCAGGGCAGTGTTCCAAACCAATATGCATTGTTTGGAGCTGGCAGAGAATACAGCTGACAGCCAACTCGCACCTGGCTAGTTGCCCTGGCAGTTGAAGTTTGGCCCATGGAAACTTGTAGGCAGAACCAGTGGAGGTGTAACTAGAGAGCTCAGTGGTGTGACACCTGATGGTCCCCACTGACTGTGCCCACCACTTGAATGTTGTAGTAACAGACCTTTCAGAGTCTCAGAGGAATGTTTATTTCATGGATGTTCAAATTCAAAACTTTAACTTAGATGTCAATTTTGTGTTGTTGTCTTTTCTATATCTGAAAGGGATGATTTCAGTTCTGCAGCATGAAGTTGACCCATCTTTTTTTTTTTTTTTTCAGGCATCTGGGGTCAGTGATTGTTTGAGAAACAAGTTTCACATTCCTTTCACAGGGCATAGACTCCTCCAGCCTCCCTGACTCTGGCCAGTTCTGTAGGGTGAGGGGAAGCTGTCTTGACCTATATGCCAGTATGGTCTCGGAATTACTGAGATGTTAATTTCTTTAGTATAATTTTGGCTCGATTTGCTGTGGAATTTTTTTTTTCTCCTTTCCATCAAATTAGGAAGACTCAGGGTATGGTGGAACATTGGGAATTTTTATTTCTTTTGAGTTGGGCATTGTCCAGGTTAGAGTGTAGTTGTCTAGCTTATTGCCCAGGATGCAGTGCAGTGGTAGGATCATGGTTCACTGTAGCCTTGACCTCCTGGGCTTAGGTGATTTACTCGCCTCAGTAGCTGAGTAGCTGAGACGCATGCCATCATGCCTGGCTATTTTTTTTGTTGTTGTTTTTGTTGTTGTAGAGATGAAGTCTTACTATGTTGCCCAGGCTGGTCTTGAACTCTTGGACTCAAGTGATCCTCCCGCCTTGGCCTCCCTAAATGCTGGGATTGCAGGCAGGAACCACTGTGCCTGGCTGGGAATGTTTTTCAAGCAATTTTATTCTGTGGAAGCTGAGAAAACTTTTGGAATTTGCATGACTTTTATTTTCCCTGAAAGATCCATTATTCAATTTCTATATTATATTTCTAATATCACAAGAGTGTGAGGATTTCATCTCTGAGCTTGTATCTGGCAGCTGACCCTTGAGGGAATCCAACCAAGCCGTTTTTCAATTTAATAATGAATGAGGTGCTTATCATTCCCATGTTGGACAAATGATTTGGTCTTGCAGGAACAGCCCCTGACAGCTGTATTTTCTATGGTGCAACCCAAGCCTGCTCAATTTCTACTGACACTGCGTCCTGTTAGCCAGGCGGACAGAACCCTGAATGCCTCCAAGCAGATAGGGAGGCTGAGTCTGAGGGAAGAATCCAGACTTGCACATCATCTTGTTGCAGCTGCAGTCCAGGTCCTGGCTTCATTTCTCCACTGCCCTCGCTTCTGTTTGGGAACTAACCAAGTTTGGTTGAGGCCGAGGGAAGGTCAATGAGATCAGTGAGAACCCCTCAGTGGCTAGGAGTTAAGAGACCAGGGTGAGATTTAGGAAGCAGAGCACATAGACAAGGGTCATGGTGGAAATATCCCATAGAGAGTACTCAAGATGGGTAGGTAGACAGTGCCCTGGCTGCAAGGAAGACAAATGGAAGGACTCGCTGTCTCCTGTGGGTATGTTTGTGGAAGGACTCACTGTCTAATATGGGAGTGTTTGAGGAGTGTAACTGCTAAGCATAATTTGTTAGTGCTTATACCGCTAAGCAAGTGGTAGTCCTGCAAAATCATCTCCTGTGATCTTTCAGAATGTGCCCCCACTCTCCATGCAGATGGTCTGCGAGCTAGCAGCCACCATTCTTGATTTCCTCGGGATGACTTGATATTTCTTATCTAGTGAAAGAGGGGTGATTAAAACAAGCAGTACTGTTTTGGGACCACAAACATGGTGCCATTACAAAGTAACAAGTCATTTTCATGTGTATATGTAAACTAGCCATAAAGGCAACTTCAAGGGGAGTTTTTAAAAACATTCTGAGCAATTGCCACATCTCTGGAAGGATCATGACCTCGTCTAAGGAACTTACCCTGAAGAGCAGTGCTCCTGTACTGCAATAGATTTCATTTTTTTAAAAGTTAATAGCAAGCTAATTTCATTATATTATGATATTTCAGGTTATCTTTCTTTTACATTTATTTCAACAATTAAAAGCCAAACCTTGCCTAAGCCAGCCTTAAGATTTGATTATTCTCTTTGTTCTATGAGATTTTTCAGTCACTTTGTCCACCTTTATCACACGACTTCTTTTCAAATTTCATTCTACTTCTGAGATGACAAGGCTTAGAGGACAGAAATATTGCTGGAAAAGATGCTGAGTTCTCTTTACTCCTGATCTATGAGAATGAAAGTAAGAGGTAACAGGAAGGGAAAATAGGAACTATTTTCCGTAACTAGAGCTTGTGCCTGGTAATTTTTACTTGGACACTCCCTGGAGCATGGTCTACTGGTTAGGATTCAGTGTGTGCTCTCTCTTTGCTTGGGCCTTGTTCTGCAGCTCAGTGCAGGCCAACGCTTGTTTTCCCCTGTGAGCACTAAAATTTCCTTGAGAAAAACACCATTGCCTTTAATCCTTGGGACTTGCTGATGTGTCCTGGTGCATAATGGTGTCTGATGGGCTGGTGGGTAGTGCAAGGCTTCCTTCAGGAAAGTCAGCTATAAATGTTCAATCAGAGCCCCACCACCCGACATCTCCCCTGACACGTAAATAGGATGCTGAGCAGTGTTCTGAGGGCGAGGAGAGGGAGCCAGCAGCAGAGGACATGATGACACAATCCAGGTTTCCAGCAAACAGCTCAACTTTGTTGGAAGACTTGCTGTTACAGGGGAGAGAGGTCTTGCTGGCAGCTGCCCATTCAGCCTCTTTGAGGAAGAGTGGGGAATGGAGGCTTCAACAGTGCCTGAAAGGAATCATTGCCAGGACTTCCAGCCATGCAGTGTTGTGACATGCCAGGTGCATGTTGCTCTTTGATGCCCAACATGCATGCGGTCATTTTTCTTCTTGAAAGATTTTTAATATTGAAACCCACATTTGTATCTACATAAAACTAAACATTTCAAAATACAACACAAACTATAATAGTAATAATACAAATATATACATGTAAATAAGAAAAAACAATAATAGAAAGATGAAATAGGCTGTGTATGAACAAGAATTTTCTGAATTCTGTGATTCAGAAAATGAATGACAGATGTCCAGTAAACACATGTGATACAAGGTGCCCAACCTCATCATTAAACCAGAAAATACAAAAAATGAGATGCCATTGTTTTCAATGAGATTTACAATATTTATTTATTTTAAAAATTGCTTTAAACCGGGCTTGGTGGCTCAGCCTGTAATCCTAGCACTTTGGGAGGCTGAGGTGAGTGGATTGCCTGAGCCTGTGGGTTCAAGACTTGCCTGGGCAACTTGGCAAGACCTCATCTCTACAATAAATAAAAAAAAATTAGCCGGGCATGATAGCGCGCACCTGTAGTTCCAGCTACTTGGAAGACTGAGGCAGAAGGACCACTGGAGCCCAGCAGGTTGAGGCTGCGGTGGCCAGGAACGGTCACTGCACTCCAGTCTGGGTGACTGAGTGAGACTCCAACTCAAAAAAAAAATAAAATAAATAAAATAAATAAAACATAGCTTTAGTAAGGTATAATTGATATACAAGAAATATC